ATATATATATAGAGAGAGAGAGAGAGAGATTTTTTTTTTTTAACTCACAACTGTTAAGAGTAGAACTGATCATTTTGGCTCACGTCGAAATGTCTTCTTTTAGCTTTAGTTACTTTTGTCACTAAACTCACACAGACAAGCCGTGTATTTCCTCATTTTGTTATGGACTTTACGATTATGTGTTTTCAGTGTGCCATACAATACAAGCATGGAAAACATCACTTCGAACTTCAGCACTGAGTGCGGCACCTATGAACAGCTCGGCTACTGGCCAAACAATTTTGATGACTTTGCTGTAAGTGTGTGCTTTGTTTGCAGCTATTTCGTTTGTTTTTCAGCCCCGCCTCCCGTTTTGCAATGGATCTTCCATTGCTAAAGTTTAATGAATTTGATATTTGAAATAGTCAGTGACTCAATTCTGGAAAAAAAGTACCAATATTTGTTTTCAGCTCCCTTTTGGAGTGTAATTTCTGCTTTGAGAGAATTTTCCATTTATTTCCCTTGTAATATATTGTTTACTTGTCAGCAGTTATACAGTATCATCAACATACACCATTAGCTGCCGTACATTCCCGTTCCCTAACATTGCCTCCGCCAACATTTGAAACTAATGTGGCACACTTTGGATTCCGAGTTGTTCTTTGTTGTTCTCCAGTTCCATCATTTTCTCTCCTCACGATATACATTTCTTTATTTTTGACAATGAATGATGGATGTCTTGCCGAGTGCTATACCGTGTTGAGCTCATGAAATTGACAAATATAACATCTGAGAAATTCCAAACGCCGACACTTGATGAAAGTGTGTTACTGATGGCATTCACATATAATTGTGCATTCTCGTCTTACATATGTGACATTATCTGGCGACACACTCATTAAACGTGGCGGCCAGCTATATTATTTTTAACATTGTTTTGAAAGTTCTTAACCCTTTCTTTGACTGCGGTTACTTCAGTGGGCAGCTTGTCATGTTATTAGGTTGCTGGGTGCATGAAAGGATTAAATGTACCGTATTTTCCGCACTAAAAGACGCACTGGATTATGAGGCGCACCTGCAATGAATGGCTATTTTGTAATTTTTTTTCATACATTGGACGCCTCACATTATAAGGCACAATCTACAATGCCTCCACTAGATGGTGCTACGCTCCTTCCATTCAACTCGAGAGACAGAGGCGTTCATGACCGTTTTACCATGTAAATTAACTATTACTGCACTTTAATGAAACTAGGAAAATTGAAAATAATGCATCAAAACAGAAAATCAAGCGAGGAAATCACAAAATAAATTCTATATCTCCCCTACAGAATTTATTTTGTGATTTCCTCGCTTGATTTTCTTCGTGGTTTCATTGAAGTAATAATTTAAGTTTTTCGGAGGCGGCCATGAACGCCTCTCGAGTGGAACGGAAGAAGGCACGGAGACGGACAAAGACGTACAGTACCTGTATTTGTTGAGACTGTGAAAACCATTAATAAAGTCTGCGTTTAAAAAATAAATAAATAAAACCACAGTTCTCCTTTTTTCAACAAATACAGGTGAGTCTTTGTCCGTCTCCGTGCCTTCTCTTATTCTGTTCAACTCGAGAGGCGTTCATGGCCGCCTCCGAAAAGCGCACTGGCATTTCCTTGATCATAGCGCCACGACAACTACGATCAGATGTCAGTAGTAGTTATTTATTCCTTTGTTGTGTATTCACAAATGATGAAATCATAATATAAATTCTGTAGGGGTGGCTACAGAATTTATTTTGTGATATCCTCGCTTGCTTTTCAGTTTTGAGGTATTATTTTCAATTTTCGTAGTTTCATTAAAGTAATCATTAGTTTACGTTTTTCGGAGGCGGTCTTGAACGCCTCTCGAGTCGAACGGAAGAAGGCACGTAGACAGACAAAGACGTACCTGTATTTGTTGAGACTGTTTTAAAAAATGAACACCACAGCTCTCCTTTTTTCGGAGCTGCAACACAAACTTATTTAATAAAGCAGCGACACAGTTCACTGAACCAACAGCAAGTTATAACATTGGAAGCATGTCTCCAGTAAGTAGCCATCTTGGAGTCGATGTATTACCGTAATGACCATACAAAAGACGCACCGGATTTTAAGGCCCTCGTGAGCTTTTAAGAAAATTGAAGACTTTTTGGTGCGCCCTATAGTGCGGAAAATACGGTACATGAAAAATGATGCACAAAACTTGAACTTTTTACTGCCGTAAATATTTGACGTATCTCTTTCATGAACTATTTTATGTACTTAAACTTAATTAACTTAAAAAAACATCCCTTTCTGTCGTAGGCGGCCATCATTTTGCTGTATGATGTCATGATAATCAACAACTGGCAGGCCTTCATGGACGCATACACCAGATATACCACTGAGTGAGGAAAAAAAAGATGCAGTAAACATACTGTAACGCAGCAATTGAATCAGATGTTGAAGAAATTTAAGTGTGTTTCATGTTTCTCAGATGGTCTAAAGTCTACTTTGTGTGTTGGTGGTTCACCTCCTCTGTCATGTGGGTAAACTTGTTCGTGGCACTCATCCTAGAGGTCAGTACACCCAACTCACAAATCTGTTGGAAAAAAAAAAATTTGATCGTCCAAGATAAATTTGTTGGATGAAAACGTAGCTAAAGGACGACATGACTGAATCAGCCTTCGTGATCAATCGAGTGATGCTCAGGAGTCACAGACAATTTTATATCTTAAGAGTGGGAGAAAAAATATTTGATCCCCGTTGATTTTGGAAGTGTTCAAATTAAATAAAAAAAAAAAAAAATCAATGAACAGTCAGATTTTTATGGCAGTCGGACAAAGCAGAGAAACAGCTAATTCCCGCAAGCTAAAATCAAAACAGAGCTCTGCAGCCTGGACATCAGCCCTGCGGATGCCGATCCATCCCTAAACATTTGAACTCTTTACAGCCATCTCGTTACCTCTGCGTCCCGCGTCCTAGACGTATAATTTTCCCGCGGGACGCACAGTTCCAAATAATGTGCGTTTTTGGGACACAAGGAAATTTCTCAGTCAAAAAAAAAAAAACTTTGGCAGGCCTGGGGATTTCACAGTAACAATCGTTACCGGTAGCGTTTCGTTTCCGTGGCGTCATTTTCACGGTACCGAAAAATAGTTTAACTATAAAAGTCACCGCACACGAGTTGACTGT